GTGAGTAATAAATTGTGCGATCAGGAAAAATGTCAAGGAACCCAGTTACAGCTCATTAAATTTTGTGGTTGTCAGTTGCAAGTATGTAAGAATATATTTAGATTAACAAGATTCAAAGGAAAAACTACTCTGCACAGTAAGGTAATAAAAGACTAATAACAAAGCAAATTTTAAATGTGTAAAATACTAAAATAACACTAGTAGGGATTCATCAAATACAGTTAGGGATGGGTTATAAACTACACAGTTAATCACAATATTTCAACTGTGATGGTTATTTGCAATGTAATTGATAGCCATTGTAATGATGTTGTAATTTTATTCTACTCACTGCAATAACATTTCCTTTAACAGTAACAGTAACATTAATAATAGCATTAGTAGATAAAATAGATATGTATACTAAAGTTCCAACATGTTTATTATTAAATTAATAATTTGTTTAAAAAGAACATGGTTAATTTTATTTTTTTGATGAATTCATTTTGTAAAGACTTAAAACAGAAGTATTAATGACTGAAATGAAAATAACATGTAATAAGTAATTACTAATTTTTATATTTATTAGAAATCTTTACATATTATAAAACAAAGTCCCTTTTTATGCCTGTAAGATCTTTAAAACTAACAGATTTTGATGCGGTTTTTTTAATTGATAAAGTGATTGAAGAGGGAGGTTTATATGTATATAATATGCATAATACAGTAGAGAAACACTGCCCCATTTTTATAAGTACGAGCATATCTCTAAAAGAACTCTACATATTTAATTACGATTTTAAATTTTAAATTTTAAATTGGGTTAAATAGGCACAACTAAAATTAGATGTTGGTTTATCCGAAGGTAATAACCTCAAAAAATAACTGGAAAAGTTTCTATAAAAGTTATTTTAATACATTATTACTTGAAAATTGGAGCGTGTATACAGCTTGATTTTCAACTCATATAGGCTGTAAATAGGTAAAGGGTAGTTCACACATGATTTTTTTTTTATCATACGAAAAAATAAAATTTTTATATCAATTTAAATGGTTGCAATTTGTTACATATTATATTAATATTATAATTAGAAGAAATCTGATAAAAACATTTTGTACAAATATATTTATTAAAAATACAAATCTTTGGCCTGGACAGCATTGGGCGGGACAGTAAGTAAATAATAATCAATACTAATATAATAATATTTAATTTCAGTTTTATTGGACATTTATTTTTATATTTGTTCAATGTTTTTGCTGAAAATGTTGTTTTAATATTAGAATATCAAGTATCTTTAAAATGTGATTCACATTATCAACCAACCTATTTGCCAACACATTGAATTAATATGATTTGTTTTAACCCTAGACGATTAATATTTAAATTAATAATTAAGCAAAATTAATTTAATAGAAGTCTTAACTTCAGAAAATTAGTTTGCTACAAGTAGATGTAATGATTGTATAAGTACAATGTCATCACTAATTACAAAATGTTAAATGGAATCTTTAGATTTATGTTACTCAATTAATTGGTACCTTGTAATCTAAAAATTATCTTAGACAATAGAAGCTTAGTATATTATAAATATGTAAAATATTTTAACAAGAAAAATGTATGCATACAATAGCTAAAATTTAAAAATAATTATGTAATTCCACTAACTTATTATTTTTAGTATTGACTGATCATATAGAAAATACATAATAATAATATGCTCTTTTCGATGAAAAAAAAGGTACCGTTTCACACATATTAAATACTGTGAACGATCGGGTGGCCGTAAAATCCCCTCCACATAACCGCCGCCATGAGTAAATAAATAACTGATGTATATAGCACTGAACAAAATGAAGTGGGTAATGCACAGCCAATGACCGGTACCTTTCTATCATGAATAAGAGTTAAAAATTAATGCAATATTATAACTAAAGTCCAAATTTGTATATACTCAAAAAACTTACAATGGTATGCATTTATGCATCAAAAAACTTTTAAATATGTCCTTAATGTTCATTTTTATTAATAATATTCAAAAATATTTTCTTAAACAAAATGTATGTATTTGAATATTTTTTTAAAATTCTTACATAAATAATAATGCAACTCAATTCGATAAACTTAATTTGTTGGTTACAGAGATCAACTTAAAATATTAATTAAAGAACAGTAAGTATTTAAAATATATTTATTGTTGTAATAGGAATGTTTTGGTGCTAACAATTTTTTGTCACACAATTGACAGAACACTACAAAGCCATTTGTGGTAAAAATGGTGTGGTCCGTTGTATTATAAAATGCGTTCCATTGTTTTAAAAAGGTAGCCACTGCTATGACTTTTCAAGATTTTATTTTTATAAATGTGTGGAACGTGGATCACAAAATTAAATATGGGCACTGGTGTACTATTGACTGGCGATTATGCCCAACAACGATGACAAAAAAATATTATTTTAAAAAGGGAATTTAAATAAAACCAGTCAACATTGCGTTGCGATACATGAGACATAATCTGTTTTCTACGGTGAAATAGAAATAAAATAACTAAACAAATTTGTATACAAAATATGCTTGAGTATGCAAAATAAACTTTTTTCCATGCATTATCTGCTACACAAAATTGTCCACATTTTTTACTCCTATCAAACTGCATACACTCATTATCTCATTATAAATATGTAAATGCATACAAATCCAGACTTTAATTATAATTTATCTTACAAATAATAGTGATATTATATTTATATCAATTTACATATTGTATTATAATAAATATGTGCAAAAAAAAAAAACTATTAATACTTTCATATTATAGGATGTTTTGTTAATAAAATACATATTATTATTAATAATAGAAAGAAAAAATGATTTAAGAGGATAAATGATTTAACGCTACCCATGCATTTGTTGTCTCCGTTTTACACACAAACTAAATTTTCATTCACTCGTTTCAACAGTGAGCTATCAGTTTGTTATTAGAGTGAATTAGTTTATTTTTTTTTTACATATCTGTGCTTAAAGGACTATCCAAGGGAAAATTAAAATAAAATATTGTAGAATGAAAACAATTATGAATCTTGGTAAAAATAGTTTTTGATTGCTTCGCTCTGTTCGGTTCTTATCGTCGTTATAAAATGATGCGTGACGTAACAGGTTCTATCGGTCGGCCGCCCGCCTATTGCAATAAACGTATTTCTTTGACGCATCGTTAGTCATTTATTTATATATTAACTTATAATACTCAAAATAAAAAGCGGTTTTCATATTACAAAACCTTAGATACTTTCCTACAACCTGATACCAACATCCTATTGAAATAATAAATATTAAACGTAGAAAACGTATATTTAATCCATATATACATCTTTTTGTTTGTTCATACTTCATATTATACATATTATATACCAACACAAACAATAACAATACAATTGCAGTTTATGGGTTTTCCTAAATACCACAGCAGACTGCGTTTCGACTAAATTTGTTTTATTTATTAAGACGTATAAATTAAATGTTTTCTATCTTTAATAGTTTAATATTTATTATTTCAATAGGAGGTTAGTATTATGTTGTAGGAATATATCTAAGGTTTTTAGATATGAAAACCGCTATTCATTATGAGTATTATAAGTTAATATACAAATAAATGAATAAAGACGCGTCGAGGAAATGCGTGTATTGAAATAGGCGGGCGGCCGACCGACCGATGGAACTTGTGCCGTAACGCGTCATTTTAAAACGGCGATAACGATTAAACAGAGTGATGGATAATATTTTCAACGACACCCAATTTTTAATTATACCAAACACCAGAGTTGGGCGTTATTCGAATGAAATTTTATCTAGATGATTATTTAGATAACATTTTATTCGAATAAATTATTATTCGAATGATTTTTTTACAATTATTCGAATTAAAATTTATTCGAATAATTTTTTTTACAATAATTCGAATAAAAATGTATTCGATTAATTTTCAACTATTATTATTCGAATAAAAAATCATTCGAATATTTCTTTTTACAATTATTCAAATAAAAATGTATTCGAATAATTTTCAACTATTGTTATTCGAATAAAAAATTAACCGATTCAATTTTAAACATAGATATTCGAATAAACAATAAACAAATATCTATCAATAGAAGAAAGTTAAGAATTAGAGAATTAGATATGTTTTTTTAAATTATATTTTAACAATAGTTTTATAATATTATAATATGAATAATATTTAATGGTAATATTTCATAACAATTTTTACAACAATCCTAATAGATCGATAATAGCAATATCTAAAAAAATTATTTTATTATGAACTAGGTATGTTTAATCAAATTAAATAACTAAGAATTATTCGTATAACCGTCTTTAAAATTTATTCGAATAATCATAGATGAAAATTATTCGAATAATCGTAGTTGAAAATTATTCGAATAGTTTTTTATTCGAATAATCATAATTGAAAATTATTCGAATACATTTTTATTCGAATAATTGTAAAAAAAACATTCGAATAGTTTTTTATTCGAATAATTATCTAGATAAAATTTTGCCCAACTCTGCCAAATACTAACGATTTAGCTTTTATCTATTTTTTCCTTGGATGGTCCTTTAAGTTTCAGCTATTTTTAAATATTTTAACTTTCAAACAAGATATGGGTGTGTGAAATATAAATTAAAAATGCTCATATCTAGCTTGAAAATTAAAGTATTGAAAAATTGCCAACGCTTAAGCACAGATAACGTTTTTACCTAAAGTTTGATAATAGGTCAATTCATTCTAATGTCAAAACTAACAGCACACTATTGAAACTAGTTAATGAAAATAAGAAAATAATATAATAACTTTTTCAAAACAATAATACCACCGAAAATAATTATCCTAACATTTTGGTTTTTTTTTTTTTGATACTTAACAATTAAACAAATTCAGATATAATTCAAATATAAATGCATTTGTGTATAATATGTAGAATTATAGTTACCATAATAACAACACTCACCGATGTTTGAATAATTATGCATTTGCTCGAGGCAATGCTCTGACCAAAAACAATTTTTCTCCTTGCTTATTGGTATATATCGGAGCTCTTTGATAATGATCTACAAGTTGATCAAGTGTGTGAAACTTGCGTTGACCAATACAATATAATGCTCCTTCAACATGCACTCGGAAATGTTTATTACGTCCAGGCGCTTTTAAAGACACTGAATAATCTCCTACCTGTATATAATTAACAACACTGTAAGTTTTCGTTAAGTACTTATTAGTAATTGTAAATATATATACATTAGTCTCGCTGTCTCTGACTAAGAAGTCACCATCTTGCCCATTGTTGTTCAATACTGTATCACATTGAGCTCGAGTTATTGTTCCATAATACCATGGTTTTCCAACCAAATGTGGTTTATCAATAACTTGTACACTACTGGCGGCTTGAATTAATGGTTGAGCTAAATATTCGCTGAGTTCCTTCAAATTCATACATATACGTAATAATTATTTCTTTCGAGGTCCATGATACCATATTTTATTTTAGTGAACAAAATGTCAGAAATCAATTTACCTGTAAGTAATTCTTTGGAACTAAGCCAATTTGGCCTTGGCCATTCCTAGCTCTATACCATTCTGGATCAGCAGCAGGTCTTTCCAAAATTTCCAGGCGGTCACCTTTCTCAAAACTTAATTCCTGATCAGATGTACCTGTGAATGGATATAAGGCAACAACAATGTCCAACACATTCTCGGCCATTGCATATGTGTGGAGGCCCATGTCATCTCCATTATTGTCGTCTTCTTGAGTGGTATAATTACTCGGAAACCAACCGGCCATACAACCACTTTGACCTCTCCACCAACTGTAAACAAGTTTTCCATTTTAATTACATATAATTCATTATAAACAAATATGGTCGTCATTTGTATAAGCTTTATACCCATCATTGCTCTTTTCAAGAATCAGTATTCTTGTTCCTTTGATTAGAGATAATTCGTCAGGTTGTTGAGCTTGGTAATTGTACTTCACTAAAGCTGTACCTATAGCTTCAGACGGATCAGCTGGTAAACGTCTGGCCATTGTAGGAGATTCACTCACAGTACGACCATTGCCATGACTACTGCATGGTAATGTTTTGCTACCAGTGCTTGAGTTACTCCCACTTTTTTTCACTTTTTTCTTTATGCTAAAGTACAACACAAACAAATTAGTTAAAATTATTTTCAATTTAGAAAGTTATTTACTAAAATTTCAAGTAAATATTGTTTTAACCTATCAAAGAGAGAAGGTTTTTCTTTCTTCACATAGTTGCTTGGCACATAACCTGAAAATCCACGAGCATTTTGAACTCTCCACCAATGTTTTGAATCATCCAATAATAAATAGCGATCATTTTTTCGTAAATCTAATTCTTGGGCACTTTGTGCTACGTAGTCGTATTTAGCCACAACATAACAGTTATCTTCTTGGTTGGATTTATTTACTAAAAAACAATGTATTTAAGTCAAACAAAACATTATACACAACAATAATGAAAAATTTTTACCTGGTCTCATGGCGGACATGTGATGATGATGTGGTGTATGTGGCGGTGGGCGTATGTTATTTGCTGCTGACTTGCCTTGCCAAGTAGCTGATTCCCGATCGGCAGCTAACAATCTAGCTTCCAACATAACTGTGTGGACTTAGTATTACTATAGCAATATTTTAATTGTCCAGTGAAAATTTAAATGCATTGAAATTGACAAGACATGTTCTGAGAATATAAAAATAAAAATCAGTAATTACTCTTCATTACATTAAACATACTAATGCAATATATTAGACATTTATTTATTATAATATCAAATATTTATCAAGATTATTATAATTTAAAATAATAAATACTAACTATTTTCCAAGTAAAATTAACTAAGTCCTATACAATTTTATCAGTTATTATTACCATGTCAATTAATCATTGAAATTAGGTAGTTATGGATATCAGTATTATTATTATCCAAGCTTGATTATTTACATTGTGTCAGAATTTTATTGTATTTAGTGATACAGACTATTACCTATAATATTATACACATTTTCAATGAAATTATTTTTATATCATACCTACATTTATCTATAAATCCATGTATTCTAACTGGTTTATTATACTTCAATAATACTTAACTACCTACAATATTATATATTCTATAGTATAAACTGTTTAACTGCTAACAGTTAAAATGTAGCTAAAATACTACTTTTCGTTTGAAAATGTTTATATAATTTTGTAAAAGCATTTTGTAAAAGCCGTCTGGCGTTGATTATAATAAATAATAATAATAACATTAAGATACCGACATAATGAGTAAACAGAAAAATAATAATAAATGCAGTGTAATCAAGCATGAGATTATATTTAGTTATATTGTTATAATAACTATGAATTGTACACTGTTTGGATAAATAGATTTCACATTGAAATATTGAATCATATACTTGCTGCAGAAAAATAAAAAACACTTAGTATAAATGTACAATATCTACCACTTTTTTAAAAATAGCTCAAACTGGATATCTCCATAATGTTATTCATTAATATATTTATAATTGCATAATAAAACATAATTATTACATGATTAAATTGTTAAAACCATAGTTGTATCATTAATTACTAATTGAAAATTGAAATTTCAATCTCAAAGTCCATGTATCTTTACAAGGTAATCTGGCAGTTTCTATTTATTGAAGAAGTCTCAATACAAAATGTATTAGGTGTAGAGAAGACATTATTTAAACTTCTATGGAGTCTAACTTAACATAAATCCAGATCATTAAATTCCTAATTTGAGAGTTTTGATGATAAACAAATACAAATTATAAACATAATTATGTTCAAATGTGATTTTCCTAGTATCTTAAGTGGACTAATCTACTGCAGCCTTGGACAATAAATCAAACGGTAGCTAGTACACAACATAACAAGATTAAAATTAAGAATGTATAACATGACCTCAACAATATTTAAGTAATAGGAATTTTGAAAACTACAAAATAATAAAACATAAAATTTAAATATGTTTACAATGACTGATGATTGTAACCCACACAAATATTATTTTTATTTTTCCAACAATAAATTTATATTTATAACTCAGAATTAAATTAATAGGTAATATATAAACATTTTTAAAATTATTAAGGAATCTAAGAATATAATTGGGAAGAATTTTTTTAAAAATCTATTTAGGTATTACTATTGGTAAACTTGCTACACGTTTAAATTGGAATTTATAATAAATAACTAGTTTTTGAATTTATAATGAATAAAAGTTTTCAAGTAAAAAAAGATAATAAAAATTGTATTATAGTTTATAGCTTATAGGTAATTACCGAGTAATTACTTAACACATTACCAATAAAAGGATTGGGTTTAACTAAAACTAATTCAACTGTAATTGTATATATTTGTTTAATATTTATTAATTATAAAAGAAACTAAATACTGTTTTATTTTGTATCAATATTATTAACATTATTTTATTATATTAAGAATTATAAATATAATTTAATTTTTAAGATTATTCATTATTCATTATCAATTAATATCTTAAAAACATTTAAACCTATACTAATAGCCTCAATTGCAGATAAGATATATTATATTAATTTTCTGAATGTATTAAGACTATAAAATATTGTTATAATTAATATGGGTAGTGATTCATACACAATCTACCAAACTAGATTTGTAGCACTATGTGAACTACCCAAAAATAATATTGAATTAGGGTATTATTTATTAGGTATAAGTAAATTACACAAATGTGTTCATTTATAATCACTAGTATAATTTATACAACACTTTAATAATAATAATATTATATAACACTATGTAGCGAGCTATGCAGTCTATAATTCACCAACTATTTAATATTTTTTTTTAAACTAAAAATGTTGCACCCGAGGTTGTACCTATTCATGATGTTTAGAAAATCTTTGACTCTTTTAATGTTTGTAACCATTATGAGTGGTTATTGAAAATCGAAGTTCAGATAAGTAAAAAACTGTATTTTAAAGATTATACATCAATATATACCTAATATATTTTGTACATTTGTAAAATTGAATAATTTTACTGAAATTTACATACAGTACATGCCTACATATATTTTGAGGGCCTTTTAAACTATAATGCACAATAGGCCTTTTAGAGCCAGTCCGACCTTGTACTTCGATAAAAATGGTGTAAGTTTGAGTTCATTATTAAATATTAATAAATAAAACCACGCACATAAGTAACTAGTAAAACATTAAAATATGTAGCAGGTACCTACATCAAAATGGTAACTAAATAAAATGATCTGTGTATTCCTAGTTCTCTATATAGGTAATAATTTTATATTATCGTATGAATTGGGCTATAAATGTATCCTACATATTAATCATTCTTATAAAAGTATATAATACATAACCTAATATAATTACGTATAGGTTTTTTTCAACTTTGGGATTTCTGGTAGATTGCGTACGACATCACTAAACTTAATATTATGTATTATTAGGTATTAACATTATTTAATATACCTATTATATACCCATTTTATTTAAATATTATCATTTGTAGTAGGCACCTATTCTAATATTTTTATATATAAGCAGTTGTTTACAATTATTATTATCTCAAGTTGTTACAACTTCAAATAACTGTATGTCTAAATGCCGCTAAAGACAGTAAGTAGAAGGTATGATGTAGATATGAATATAACAGTAAATGGCAAATTTTCGATTAATAACACCCACCAATTGAAATTGATATCAAGGTAATAACCATAATTTGCAATGCTAATTTGTGTTATCTTTACAATCGTTTATGATGTACATATATATTTTTTTACATTAGTCATCTTAAAATTATTCTCCTCTAGTATGATTTTTAAGGTCAAAACACTTAGGGTAGAAGTCAGAAGTGGTTGAATAGTGTTTAAGGATTTATTGACTTAACACATCGGATGGATGTGTTTATACCAAAAAAAATAATAAGCCACAGAACATCAAAAATAAGAGTTGCTTAAGCACTAATGACGGTTATTGTTTGAAAAAGTCGCTCATCAACCAGTCGTTTCAAAGCACACATGTAATGTCATAATTTGCAAGACACCCAACTACCTACACGAGTACACGACCATTCGAAAGGTGTACAAAAACACTGAATTGGACAATAAAGGGCACCATGATATTGGATGAGATTTAGGTACATATGTACACGCAATAATAATTCATGTCTCAAGCCGTCCAGACCTTTTTCTAAGGAGATTCAAATCAAACAGTAGGAAAAATCAAAAATTCTGTTGAGTCCGATACAGGCTGTCAGAATATAATGATCATGATACACGTACCTAGGTAGACAATGTCTTCAATCCACACTTTCTCATAATTCGTTATCATCGCCATAAAACAAAGGCTAGGCAAGTACCTACCTACCTACACGAATTCATTCAATCATAATATCCGTTGATCTAAATGAAATCGCCTCTACTTCCCCCTCCACGAACACCATAACTTTTGGTCCATAAGGTTCACCAGACACAGCTTGGTCGAAGGGGATAGAGACCCTTCTAGGACAACAACAGCCCACGGGTGGGTGGTGGGGTGGACTCGACCGAAGTCGTCGATCGGATATTTCGTGTGACTCACTCACCTTTGTGTTTGGCGTGCGACGAGCGGACAACGAGGCGGCGGCGGTGGCGTCGTGTGTGGGGCAGCTAACCGCCGTGGCGAGGGTCCGCGGCGTCTGGACGAAAAGGCAGCGGCCGGGACGACGACGCCGGAACACCAACGGGACAGCGAGAAGAACTACTGCGAGCGCGGCCGATGCCCAATGCTCAAATCAATGTCGGCGGCGGCGGGTGTCGTGTGCGTGCGGCGGCGGCGTCGTCGAGTGTGGTCTCGGGTCCTCCGTACGTCGCGTCGCGAGTCGTCGTCGACGGGCGAGCACAATCACACACAGACACACACACACACACACAAACACGTCCGTCGCTCGCGGTATACGAGTGATTGCTTGCGTGTATGTGTGTGTGTATGTCGGCGGCGGCGATCAAAACACGCCCAGCGGAGTAGCTCGCGACTCTGCCGGCCTACGATCGAGTCTGTGAGTGTTGTGACGTGCGTGTGCGCGTCCGTGCGTGTGTGTACGTGAGCGGGCGAGCGAGTGTGCGTGCGGGCGCGTGCGCGGCGGGCCCGGAGGGCGAATGACGGGCGGCGCGCGATGCCAAAACTTTACCGTATACCGTGTGTGAGAGTTTTTTCGTTATTATTTTTTTACTATTATTATTATTATTATTATTCTGTAGTCTGCGGACACGACGTGCGCGACGGTAGAGCGGCGCTCTCTGGTGAGTGGTGTTAGCGTGCGGTGAGCAACGCAGGGAAGGTATTTATTAATATTGTTGTCAGGCAATATTGTTATTGTTATTATTGCATGTCACGACTCGTTGTTATTGTTATTATTTACATTGTCTACTTTGTTGTTACCGTCACTGTTGTTCAGTAATCTTATATTCGACGGTAATGCGATGTGTGTTAGACCCAGTAGAGCCTACGAATACTTTTACAGTACTATAATATGTTTACCATTAAAATAGTGGCATGCCGAAGAAGGTTTTTTTCTTAGGGAACTGCCTCAAGTCAA